TTTGCAATTGCAACAACAAACACAAACCTTTGATGATGAATATCTTGTGCTTGTTATCTCCCATGTTTCAGTTCAAATACAAGCTGAAGGATCTCAACCTATGAACTCACTGCCAAAACAAGATCTTCAACTCACTTAGGGCCTTGCTTCAACTGAAGAAGATCACAAAAGACAAAATGCAAGGCCCTATATGTATCTCAGAGGCTGTTGTTGTTGAAGAGTTCGAGTTAGGGCGCGCAACAGCTTGGCTGTGTATTTAGGGCCTTGGGCTCGCGTCTCTCCCGCTTATTCTGCTCCCGCCAAGGCTCCCGCTTATCTATTATCGTGTTTACCTTGCGGCTTCGGAACTTTAAGTGCTTTTGATGACGTAATGAACATTAATTAGGTTCTACTGCTCGGTTAAAACCATATATATGTATACGTTTATAATGAATTGAGAAATAAATAATAGTTTCAATTTTAAATTTGTAAGAAACACAATTCAAACTCCCTTTTTTTGAAGAAACGCAATTTAAGTAACCAATACAAATATGTCACTGCTTGAACGGCGCATATGCGACAAATATAGGCGACAAAATATCTTGGCGGTAAATTTGCGCGCTGTGAATGTTCAACACCTCCAACGATAAGTCAAAAGCCTCGCGGACGGCTAGTGTACGTATAAATCAGGAATCGATTTATACATTATATGAAATATCAATATACCTGACTGATATTTACCAAGTATTTTATATAACAAGTCAGTGTCAAGATTGAGGTCGTTAGTCATGACTCATGTGCATGCAGGAATGGATACCCTGAGTGCCAAGGCTATATATCTGAGTACCTAATACCATTGTTTGTTTTTTACTTGGGGGGGGGGGCAAGATTGGGGGGGGGGGTGCGTAGGTATCAGTATCTTCTGGGCGGTAAAGGTATATGAATAAAAGTATATTGAATTTGATACGTATTATCAAGGCAAGGCTACAGCAAGACAATGCAATACCAGCTATAAAGATCAAGATCAGATGAGATGGTAGGTCAAGGTAGGTCAAAGTGGTTGTTTCCTTATAGTTTTTAGATGGCCTTGGTTGTTTGATGTTTCTGCTTGGTTTCTACTTTCTACAACCTCTGGATTCTGGTAGCAGTAGTAGGAGGCAAGTAGGAGGTATGCATTAGCTTGGCATTAGCTAATCAGTAGCGGCGGGACACCCAAGGCCCTATATACCAATATACGGTATACCGTATACCTATGTATACCTATATACCTATATACCTACCCCGAACACCTTCAAATAAGGGGTGGGGGGGGGGCACTGCCAACGTTGGTCCCATTCTTTCCATGCAACGTCCATAGGGCTATTGTTAAAAATGTCAAAATCTACGGGGGGCACGGTGCCCCGGTACCCTCCCCGTTCCGCCGCCTATGTCAACTATAGCGTCAGGTAGGTAGTTTTGGTCTCAAGATAAGGGCCCAGGCGACCTGGGGCCGTACTATTCACGTCGATCATTTTCGTAAGAATTTTCTTACGGATGACCTACTTCTTAAGCATTTTTTTTTTTTAATCACGTGAACTCCGTCGATAAAAACTTGAAGTGTCGACGTGAATACCAAATTATACTTACGAAAGAAAATCGACTTACGAAGCCGACGTGAATACGGCCCCTGTAGTTTTGATGCGGATTGCGGTGAACGAGCATCTTTAGTCCATTACTCTCGCTACAGCTCGGTCCGAGTGCATCCCTCACCCCCACCCTTGCCCCCCACCCGGCACCCAACCCCAACCCCACTCGAGTTGTGGTGAGGGCTCACCGCATCCGAACTACTGGTCGCCTGGGCGGCTGGGCCATAGGCCATAGGCGGCGGAACGGGGAGGGCACCGGGGCACCGTGCCCCCTTTGATTTTGGCATTTGTTCCGCCGCTTCTGGCCTGGGCCCTTATCTTGAGACCAATAGTACAATGGCAAGACATTCCATATCCAGTACACTGGCGGTCCCAGGGGGGGGGGGGGGGCACGGGGGCCATGGCCCCCCCTTTGGTGCTGAAAGGTGGGGCCATACTATCTTTTGGCCCCACCTTTCAGATCGAACAAAAGTCCTAGAAAAGCTTTTCGTATGTTTCATTTTCTTTCTTGCGCCATCAAAGGACGTAAATTTCACTCATGAGGGCTCAGTTTCGCATTCTGTCAATTTGGTGGTCAGCGTCGCTGGCACCGGTTCACGAGTATGGCCGGATCTTATATGGAATATCAGCGTGGGTTTACTTGAGGCTCTCGTAGGCCCAGCAATGGCTGGCATGAGACCCTCTTCGGCAGTGGTGGGTGGGCCCTGCTAAAGGAGATTGGCTCTAAGACACTAAAGTAAGACCTCATGGGTTGGTGCTGTGCACCTCAGAAGCCCGGTGGTGACGCCGTATGCCGGCTTGGTTTCTTAAGGATTAGCGTGGGAACTCCGGGGCCTGCATAGAGTTTGCATGAGCTAGTATGTAATCTCAGAGGCATGTGTGTAATGTGTACACAGTGGCGGTCGCGGGGGGGCATCAGGGCCATGCCCCCCCCCCAAGGTCAATAAAGGGGGCCATCATATCATTTGCCCCCCCCCCCCCTCAAACAACCAATGGGCCCCCATATAGGTGTATGGGGCCCTGACAATTATTCGATCGTCACGAAGCTAAAAAAAACCCACGCCCAGCTATTAATATAGCTCCCACACCGGTCTTTGAGCGTCCTACACTGACCTCTGAGGGAACTTCAGTGGCGGTCAAGTGCCCACGTTGACCGCTAAGAGCCTACATCAACCTCTGAGACCCCACATCTGGCCTATGAAGGCCCCTAACAGGCCTCAGGGGTCCCAACCGGCGTCTGAGGGTCTCACACCGGTCTCTGGTGGCCTTATTTCTGTCTGTGGTGTCCCAAGACGAACCTTAAGGTGCCAATGAGGGCCCCGCACTGGCTGCTGAAGACCCGATGCCGGCCTCTAAGGGCCTGCATTGGCATTTGAGGAGGGCCCATCTTGGCCTTTGAGGGCCCTCTGCTGGCCTCTGGGGTCCAACGACGGCTCATGCCGGTCTTTTAGGGCCCCACGCTGACCTCTGAGGGCCCATGTTGGCCTGTAATAACCCACATTAGCCTCTGAGAGCCCAACTCGGTCACTGATTGCCTCAAACTACTAGCCTTTGTAGTTTGCAGGCCCTGTACTGGTCTCTGAGGGCCCTAAACTGGCCTCTACGTGAAAACATATATGGGTGGGTTTCTGAAGATCAAAGGGCTCACGCAGTCTCCGGCACAGCCTTACGTTGGTCCTGATCGAGATTACTTTGCGTCCTGATGGTCCGGCGCAGATTCCCTCATATTTCGACGTCGGAACCCCATGAGCCGGTGTGGGTCCTGGGGCTGGCAGAGACTGATGAAGTCCTTAGGGCTCAGGGCCAGTCTTTTTAGCAGTAAGACTAGGCAGGTTGAGTGAGCCCCAATAGAGCCGCTGCGAAGCCCCGCAGGAGTCGCGCGCGGCCCTCAGATGCCAATTTTGAAAGCTCGGAACCTGTGGGGGGTCTCCAGAGGTCGGTCGGTGTACCTACTCTCTCCCGCCGCCACACAACTAGGTATGTTACCTATATGAGTAAATGTCATAGTCTGAAAATGCTCTCTGGGTTTCACATGCTTGTTCAAAGCAAGAGGTATCTGTACTTTTCCGAATTGTTTTATAGTGGCAAGGTCATGAATCCGCGTGCCTGACCTTCCAGTATACCTATGCTACACCGATCCGTCGTCATGGTGCAGTGGGCCGACCGGTGGAAGCACCGTGGGACGGGAAATGGAACTGGTGATTTTGCCTTAAATTGAGCTTAAAAAATTCACGCAAGAATCAGATGGATGAAGCATAAGTAATGCCAACTGCGCGGCACCTCGTGGACGTAAAAAAATAGCCGATCACCCCCCCCCCCCCCTCCCGGTGACGAATAAATGTTATGTCCCGCGAGTGTGACTTTGGCCCCCCCCCCCTTTTGCTAGCGGCTGCGACCGCCAGTGATCCAGTAAATTGAAAATCTAGATTAGGCGATGGGAAATACCTAAGCCCGATAACACAATAACGATAAGTTTGTGTCAACCTCAACAACATGAACAGTAGTCATAAGAACAGCAAGTACAGTAGAACAGTAAAACAGTATATATATATATATATATATATATATATATATATATATATATATATATATATATATATATATATATATATATATATATATATCACCGGATTTATTCAAACTCCTATCCCGGATTGGACTGCCCCCTGGACGGGAGCGGTAGCGCGAGAGCGCTTCAGCTTAGATCAGCTCGTATTTTGTTCACCGAATGTCGGGGAGTAAAATAGGAACTTCTAATCTAGTCGCCCATTTTTGTATTCGTGTTCCCCCTTTCATAGGTTATCGCATTATATCATTAGGCATTCTGTTTTACTGACGCCTGCGCGGTGTCGGACCCATTCAATAGGAATATGTACACATACCGTGTTCATTGTTTAATATGCAAACAAAACTGAGTTCCCCGGGCTATACAATGACACAATACAATATAATATATAATATGCATTTTATGATAAAGTTACCAGTGAATACACCATATGGTATGTCAGGACTGACTGGGTAGGACAGCTAATCAGTGTTAGACCTCAAACCGTCCTGAGTATGCTGTTTGGATATAGGTATGCAGGTATATCGCCTTCGGTTATCCTCGATACGCGTGTTGCACAGCGTTCCATTCCCTGAACGTATCTCATTCTCCACCCTCGGGGCTCGGCACCTGTCTGCATGTTATCAGTCCCTGTCCCTGTGACCGCCAGGGCCCTGTTTCACCGGTGATAGCAGCACGCCGATTTTACGACTTGTCAAATTGGGTTTCCATGGAGACATCAACAGGCCCATTGCTCCAACACTACCACAAGTGTGACGTCAGCTCGCGCAATTTGATAGCAGCGTGGTAGCAGCAGCCCGTGAAACACCGCCCTGCAGTCCCTGTCTGCCGTCCGTCAGGTGGTGCAACTCCGGCCGGAGCCACGCCATGACGTCAGATCGGTGACGTCATCGGTTAGCACGGAGACCGGCCGGTGCCATAGTAAATCCACGCGCCGTCGCGAGGTCGGTCAGCGGTGGTGGGCTCGGTGTCGTCGGCTCACCGGGAGCACACGTTGGTGTTCCGCTGGCTCCGGTCCTGTTCAGCGTCCAGTCGCTCTCCCATCGAGGAACTGCAAGAAGCAATGCGTCTGAAAGTCGAGCAACCTATTGCACCAACTTCAGGTGGGTTGATAGTGGTCTCCCGTTCGGCACTGTGAAATCTGTGTACGAACTGACGATAGTATTTGCTGTAGGACACGTTTGCTGTTATTTCTACCTACTCCACATATGTTCGGGGAATTGTTTGTCGGTAGCCGTCATAGGCGGTTCGTGTCGTTTTTTTTCGGGAGTCGTTTCAGTTTTACATTTATTTCGATATCGATCGCAAAAACGCGAGCGTTCATGGTCTTCTGGGTCAGATCCAATATTATATGGAATGCGAATGATCGGTCGTAGTCGTAGATGCATAAAGTACGCGTTGGGGCTTCCGTCGTATGCCGAGCCGAACAGACATCCTCATTTGTCCGGCTCTCTCGGGGCTGACGACTTCAGACGCGGCTGTTGTTGATGATCCATTCGGTGAATTCTGAAACGTGTTGGAGAATGCCAGTCACTGTCGATGACAATCTCAAAGCAGTTATAAAAGGCACGTATCGAAGCTGTGCTTATTTGTCAGGTATACGAAAAGGTCCACAGGCGGAAAACGTTTACTCGGTAGACCCGTCTTTATACCTAAGGTAGACCCATATAAGGCGCCCTTCCTAAATGTCCGTCTCCCCAGCGCACCTGAGACTCGAACGTAGACCCCGGGGTAGTCGGGTGACGCGCAGCCCTTGCCGAAGCTGACGATGCCTCCCAGGGTGATCTTGCCGTCGATCTCCAGCATCATCGGACCGCCGCTATCGCCCTGGGAAAGGATGGAGCAAAGGTCAACCATATCCCTCGCATCGGTGCTATGCAGCTCCAATAGAAACTCAGTCTTCGAAGAGCGTAATTCCGGCTGATTTAACTTAGCGCTTTGGTAGTCGGCAGAAACAAGTGTTCCCTGTCGTTGGCCGTCATTGTCATCGCCGCCAATCATCCCCGGCGTATATGAGACTCGTAAAGGATCTGTCTGATCCACATAAGGGCATAGGACTGGATATTCTGGGACTGCAGTCCCAGAATATCCAGTCCCACCAGTCGACTGGTGGGACCCACCTGGCAGGTGTCCCTGCCGCCGTCGCGCTGACCCGCGCACAGCATGTGGTCGTTGACGGTGATGTTGATCCGGCGGTAGGCGTCGCGGCAGACCACGTTGGGCAGCACCTCCACGGTGGCGAACTGCAGGGCGGTGGGCTTGGCGCCCTCCTCGGCCAGCGAGCCCCAGCCGGCGATGGTGACGGCTCGCTCCAGCAGGCAGGCCGGCCGGCCGGTACCCTCGCACGGCTCCTCAGGCAGACAGATGGGCCGGACGGTGCCGCTCGCCAGCAGCTCGTGCAGCTGGCCTTTCCTGTCCTTCAGCCTGGAGAGCAGGGAGAGTCAGTCGCCCATTCCATTCCCACTCGTCGCTCGCAGTTACATAGGATGCCGTTTGGTTTTATCGTTTATGATTTGTTTCTACTACGATCTTCGTTCATATTTTTTTTACGACAAACATTAATTTACACTCCAGAAGACGATGCCAATATATCAAAGTTGAACCAACCGACTTATCTCGAGAAGCTGACAAAGTTCCGTCATTATTATTCTTTATCTTGTTTGCTGTGCCATATATGTATTTTCCACGCCCTCAAGGCTCAAACCGTTGTCAAATAGCTTTTTTACTATTGCCTTTACCTTGATCGAACGATGAGTCATGAGTAAAACGGGATGCGCTGTCTGTTGAGATGGGACCACAACGGTATTGTGGCAAATGGTAATGATGTAAGCTCTGTTTATAAATGGCGCTGACGAATTAACCTTCAAACGGCATAAATCCCAATTAACCCAAAAATAACTTTCGCTTATCTCGCATGGTGCTGCCGTTGCGATTCTTCGACAAACAAGCGATATGTAATTTATGTGTCGTTTTCAGTTTCACTTTTCAGTATCCTACCTAATGTTGCGTTCAGAATACTGACTAAACCTTATCGAATCTTATTCTGTTTTTTTTTTTTCGGGCGACCTGTAGGTAAATCGTTTATGATAGTTATGTATGTATGTACTGACGTGCTTTAGGACTACAACGTTTAACGCAAGGTTTAACGTTTTCTTTTTGACATTCGTGATGATAAAGAGCGGTAGGTGTTACGAGACTTGTTAGGTGAAACGGTCCGAAAAAAAAAACGGAAATCGGCTCTGCGCCCTCGAATCCAACAAAGACGACCCCTAGCCAAATATCTCACTTGAGGAGGGCCAGGTCGTCGGTGAGCGTCTCTCGGCTATACTCGGGGTGTCGGATGATCTTCTCGATGCCGAACTTGATCTGTCGCTCGTCCTCCTTCCTCAGATGTTTGTTGACGAGCACGGCCAGCGTAATTGGAGACCGGCTGAAAACGAGATGTGTGTCTCAGTGCGACATAAATGGGACAAGTAATGAGCATTTCATGACTGGAATGTCTCTTTACGAATGTCGAAAAGAGACGACTGATGGGTTGTAAATAACTAGTTCGTTGAACCAATATAAGCCGGAGCATGGTCCTTACTGACTAGTGACTACTGCCATGCTCTCATATTTTAGTCGGCGCAGAAACAATATTGCTATTGAGACGGGCCGATAGCGGTTACGTTTCCTGGGAGACAAGAGCCGGATTCCGCGCGACGAAATGGAGTTAATTTTTAAGTCGAAATCATTGGTAGATGAAACAAAGGAGGCGCCTATCTTAGATTATCCCCGAAGACGTTTTTGCCCCAGGGCCAAGAGGACTGGAGCACCGGTACCCTCGCGGGTAGCCCTGTGGGAATTGGGGAGGTATATACAAAGGGGTAATCAAATGCTACCCTCGCGGGCTGTGGACGGCCCTAAGGGAGGTACAGAGGGGTATTGTATTTGGTCTTCGGACGTTACCCTCGCAGGCAGTGGGCGGCCGTGACGACGAAGCGCTCGTTGATGATGGCACCGCCGCAGAACGGCACCGTGCTGAAGAAATTGGTGACACCCACCTGGCGGACAAAGATTCAACGGGTGGTTTTCTACAGAAGCAATGAATCACGACGGACGATAGAACCTGGAGTTTTATTATGCTGGTGTCGCTATGATACTCCTACCAGCACGGCGGATGCAACTGGTCTTAAGTCATTTTATCCTCATCAATGGGTGAGGGTTTAGTGACTCTTTAGTGCCCTGGGGCGTATTTGCCTTTCCGATAACACTCCTATAGCCGGTGTATCAGTTCTCCCCCGGCTTTGGTTTTACTCATGACTCACCAGCCAGGGGAAGCGTCCGACTTCGGCGGTGAGTCCTCCGACGATCCGGAGCGGAGGCTGCGGGCTGGGCTCTCCTCCCGGCGGCCCCGCCTGTCGCTTCCGCCGCGGCTCCAGGCCGCAGAGCGGGTCGTTGGTCTGGATTTTGGCCGACTCCGTGCCGCGCTCCACCGTCTCTGAGAACGGGGCAGTGACGGGACCCGGCGCCGCGCCCAGCCCCTGTGCGGGGACGGGTCCGGAGGCCGAGCCGAGCCCCAGAGACACGCTGGGAGGCACCAGCGGCCGGTACCGCTGGCAGGTGCACAGAGTCGCCGACTGCGGGCAAACGGGGCATGTCAGGGGTGCTGTGCGCCTGCCGATATATGGGCATGTTACGGATCAGGTTTGGGAAACTAACGTTAGGTTAGGTTAGGCTAGGTTAGGTTAGGTTACGTCCATCGTCCTTTCTCGGCCGCTCGGCAATGCTTTGCATCAAAACGGCGTATACCGTTTCGACACAGCGGGCTGGTCAGTATCAAATTATGACACTTTCACGGTGTCAGACAATATGTCACAGTGCGTCATCATGTCAGAAATCGGCACTTCTCCGCCGTTTTACCCATTCCGGTTAAACGTTATCCGGCCACCGGCCGCCCGGTCGGACCCACCTGCAGCAGAAGGAGCAGCACCAGCGGCGGCGGGCCGGCTCGCACCTCCCTCGGTGACCACATGGCACGTGACGGCGGCAGGGGGACGGCAGTGCGCGACACCTCAACCTCTGAGCTCGGGCCGCGAGTGGCGCCCGTCCGTCCGATCAGCAGCCCGGCCGGCCGGGGAGGCGGCCCGTCCCACCGGTTTGCCTCCGCTGTGATGACGACCGGCTGCAGCATAAGCTGCTTACCAAGTCTAATCTGTTGATCGACTGCGTTCCATCGGCTATCGATGGCCGTCGTGCCGCAGAGGCTCGTGTCAATGATCCCGGAGTGGAGCGGGTCAGGTCGGTCCTGCGGCCGGCAGGCCCCTCGCGGACCGGCACCTCGCCGACCGCCGCTGACCGGTTGGCTAACGCGGCTCGATGGTGTCCGGTGCGTGATTTGGAAATAATCGCTCCTTTGACACTTCCTCTCAGGATCTTACTGTACGGCCCTCCAGGTTGGCAACCAACCGCTTATTGTGGTTGGTTGCCATTTGCCAACATCACAATAAGCGATCTACATTGATGAATGCGTCTAATGGCTGTTGAAAACCATTGCCGAAGTGTGTGCACGAACCCTCTTCTCATTTCTATTGAGTCATATTACAGCCCGACAGCTCTAATGCGTAGTCTATAGCTTGGTTGACACGGACGCGTGCCGTCTGGCGGGCTCATAGTCTCTATCGTCCATCCGTCCCTGTCGGACAATGGCCTTCATTGATGCATGATAAAAAGACAGGTACCGCTGTTGGCTGTCGCCGGTACATACAAGCCACCACAATTTATGTAGAAGGGCTGAGGGGAGAGATAGATGTGTGAGGGGATCCAAGAGGGCTTGTCCGGAGCTGGGAACTGAACTCAGTGTGGTTACACCCACGTCAGGGGTTTTTAGTTTACCTACACCCAGCCGCAGCGGCGGAAGACCGTAGAAGGGCCAGCACATCAGGAGTCTGCGGGCCCTTTTACCTTGTCCGAGCGTCTGGGCCTTGACCTGGTTACGTCTCTACCCGCGGAGGGGCCGGGATGGTTACCTTTTGTATATAGATCTGAGGGGTTAGACGGCAGGTAAAGTTTATCATCAGGTAATGGAGATTGGCGATGGATAGCAAACGACTGAGATTTAATGGATAGGTGTTTGCGGCTAGCGTATATGGTTGCGTCAGACCTTCGCGTGTTGTGCCTACACACTTTTTCAGATGGTGAAGGAAAATCTAAATCCCGCCGGGATATTTTTGCTGCCATATGTCGCGTGAGTTGCGCGCTAGTGACAATCTGGGCGATGATGAAAGTTGTGGCCCACTCACTGAACTCTATAATGTTGTGGCCACTAAAAAGTCGCCGCATTACACGTGCTGGGTGGAAAGTGGAAACAGCTGGGTAATTGCTTTATTTTTTTTTTATCCGGCTACATCAATATCAGCTTGTAACGATCTGTGCAATACTCTGCTCTAATGATATTTTATAGGACCATTTTCCCCCGTCGAATGATCTAGGCAATCAGGCATTTTGATTAGCAGCTAGCCTTCGTCTCAGTCTACCGCAGTTCAGTTTCGTGCTCGGATCGTGTTGACCTTGAGTGGACTGGTTGCTTCTGAAAAAAGTCAGCCTCGAACGATCAAATAAGGCATACTGATGCTAGGATGTTGAGGAAAACTTGAGCTGCTTCCATTTCATACATGACAGCTGGTTCTGTCAGTTGCACATCAAAGCTTGCACGATCAAACTGTTCCTGTTACAGTGCTGGCATTGGCGTTGGTGGCTAGGTTGAGGTGGGGATTCATTGTCATTATTCATATTCATTGCTTTGATACTGTGGATTGTGCATGTGTTTGTATCAAGTTAATTAAGGCTTGATGAGGCGAGTGTTAGAGAAGATGTCACTGTACATATATTACTAATGCAAGGGTAGTGACTCTGTTTTAATTGAAGTGTCAAGTGTGTCTGTCTTATCAAACTGATACTATTTTTTTCTCATGGATCTCAGAGCCAATGTATGGAATGACTCACATATAGTTTTAGAGTTCTTCTGGCATTTCTATTTAATATTTAAAACAAGGAGAATTGCAAAATTATCAAATACCTACTGTCCTGCTTTTGATTTAGGTCTTTAAAAAGCTTGTACCTCATCAATTTCTCCAGAAATTTTCAAAATATGAGAATAGTGCTGCATATATTTATAGTCACCATGCTGCCTATGAAGAAGTGTGTTACTTTTATAGCAATTGTGCCTATGAAGCAATTGTGCATATTTGTCTTTCCATGCCTTCACCTTATCAAAGTTCATATTTTTACAGGAACGTTGTGTGCACCCAAACTACAAGGAACCCTTCGTAAGAGCATGGCCGACAATACTGAATCAAACAGCAATGGACAGACTGCTGTGAAAGGTCCAGGGAAATCAACAGCAGAATCATCCAAACCAATCACAATGTTCCTCCATCAAGAGGATCGAATCAGGGAGCTGTTCAAGGGGTTGAAAATAGCGGACTGCTCACGGCTCAATGCATCCATAGAGGAGGAGGATGAGTCTGCTGAGCTGGACAATGGTGAGTGGTGCTTGGAGATGCAGGCTCACATGGTTATAGGAGTGTGGCTGGGGTGCCAATTCTTAGTCAGATTCAGGCCTCAATGTGCTCTGCATCATTGACATGGCACTACATTTCATTGAAGCACTGCTGTTTCACTACATCATGCTGGTAAGATAATATTTGCTGGAAGTAGTGGCTCATATTATGCATCATGGATGTTCCTGATTCCGAAATTTATTAACTTCCGACCTGCTGTCTAGTTTTGTGCAAGGTTTGTTGACTTGTGACGACTTTTGCCGGCAGTTCCGCGCGACCCTCTGGTGGTCTCGGAGGTCATGACCTGCTCCCACTGCGGCGTCGGGTTCTCGGACCGCCCGGAGCAGGTGGGCCACTACAAGTCCGACTTCCACAAGTACAACGTGAAGCGGAGCGCCGGCGGGCAGACGGCGCTCACGGAGCGACAGTTCGACCGACTCGACATTGACGGTACGGGGGCGGATAGACATTGACCGTCGTACGGATACGATAGACTGCGCCTGCGGTATGGGGGCTGATCGACATCGGGAACAGTCGCCTTGCCGGCGAATTTAGTCTGATATCTTACTATGGCGACTGAAACGAAATTATAAATTGTGAGAGAAAGACTGGAAGATAAAATGTCCAAACGACGACGACGATTCATTGTGGACGTTGCGGGTTTTCCGTTTTCGGTATTCTGCCAGGCATATGGGTGTTATGTGTGACGTGTGTGGTGTTAGCTCATTTACCAGCTCTGAGGGACGACTTTCTTCGTCAGATGACGTCCTCAGCCTGTCGGGGAGCGACTCAGAGGAGGACTCTGATGAGGACACGCTGTCGGAGCGGGAGGAAGGGTCCACCAGCGCGTCAGCCTCCGGTGAGTGTCCACCTGGACAGACGGCTCGATCTTGTTATTACTGAACCAGAGACCGCGTACCGAATTAATGAGTGTACGAATGAAGAACAAATGCTAGGGCTGGTGGCTAGCGAGCGACATGTTACATTTCTGTCCTCTGGGGATCGGCAGTCTACATGTGTCCATAAAGACCGGGCGAGCTGAGCCGTAGCATGACTAAACTTGGAAACGACCGTTATCCGCACAGCTGGCGGCCGATACTACCGTGCCTACCCTCCCTCCCACGATCCGGTGCCACCTGTGACCCCCCTCCCCCACCCCCTCAGAGGAAACCCCGGCGCGGCGGCGGCGGCGGCGGCGTGCCGACGGCGACAGGGAGCTGCAGAGGAACCAGCTGAGGCGGCACACCAAGCTGTTCCTGGTCAACGCCGACCGACAGATGTTCTGCCTCTACAAGTGCCTCATCATGTCCAAATGGGTGAGATCGACAGAGACGGTGCCCGACGAACGTGATGTTTTTTTTTTATCAGCTTACCTTTCGGACGGTCGTGTGTGTCATTTTGTTGTTGTTCATGTTCTACATAAATTTATAACTTTTGAACGAAAGAACAAAAACGTTTAACAAAGACGGCAATTTTCGGAATTCCAAATGAATTTGTTTTTCTGTATACCTAAGGCGCTATCTGCCGTTTGTCTTCTGTTTCTCGTTAATCACACATACAGTGTCCAATATCGGCGAAGACAATGGTCTGTTCTCAATTCGACAGTTTCTCGGGCTCTGTCCCTCCGAACGCTAGCGTCCAGTCGTTGTCTGCCCGCAGATGTATCCAGTACCTACTCCTTTTTTCTCCTTAGCTGTGTACCTAACCAGTAACCACCCCTCTCCCCTTTGGGTCAGGCGCCGGCCGGCGACACGCAGGTGGAGCTGGCCGTGAAGCAGCTGGCGCGCGGACTCCGAGTCGGAGTGTTCCTCCTCTCTGGCGGACACTTTGCCGCCGCCGTGTTCAGCGGTACGTGGGCCGCCAGCGCCGCAAGTGCACAATGCCGTGGGACCGGTGGGGCGAGAGGTTGTCGTAACCGCTAAATGATGCGGTGATCTGTCTAACATGTAGACGTGGGGAGGAATGAGCTAACACGGCCTTAACAACTAAGCGTATATTGTCATACCTTCGACTGAGTATCAACTTTGTGCTTTGCTTGCCAATTATCCGAGGTAATCGCGAGGATTTCGAATGTCTTTCAACGTATGAGAGGCTCTATCAATGTCTTTCTGTCCATTATCGGCCATTGGTGTAGTGTTTTGCGTCTCCAGGCGGTAAGGCCGTGCTGCACAAGACGTTCCACTCGTACACGGTCCGAGCCAAACAGGGCGGAGGACAGGCCAGCCGGGACGCCCGCTCGGCCACCAAGCAGCCCCGCTCGGCCGGCGCCAGCCTGCGACGGTACAACGAGGCATCGCTCGTGCAGGTAACGGGAGAGCTTGGCATCTGACATTAGAAGAGCATGACATGAAGACATTCATTGGTCCTCTCACGAGTCACGAGTCAGTCAGTCAGTCAGTCAGTCAGTCACGAGACAGGCAATTATTGTTTATTTGCCATGATCGCCAACAGGGCAACTCTGCCAACAAAGGAAGTCAGTGAGCCTGTCTGGTATGGCCTTTCTTAGTGTAACGTCTCATTGACCTCCTCTCCCCTCTCGTCTCCAGCACATTCAGGAGCTGCTGGCCTCCTGGGAGGAGGAGGTGTCGCGCTGCTCGCTGCTGTTTGTGCGCGCCCTGGGCAGCGGCGCGGCGGCACTGTACGGCGGAAAGGCGCCCCCTCTGAACCGGCGCGACCCCCGCATCCGCAGTGTACCGTTCCCAACCCGACGGCCGACGTTCGCCGAGCTGGAGCGGGTCTACCAGGCGCTCACCTGTGTCCATGTCTACGGT